GAAGTGGCTTTGCTGGGTCTGAGGAGTAGCAAGCAGGCAGGGGGCTGGAGTGCAGTGAGTCCGAGGGAGGGGCGGGAGACAAGGTCCTGGGGGGGTCGGCAGCGGTGAGATCACACAGGGCCTTCTAGGCCGTGGAAGGAAGCCTAAGCCTGGATTTTACTCTGTGTGATGCAAACCACTGGGTGGGAGTTTGTTTTAAAAAAGGTTTTATTATTGAGGTATGCCAAGACCAACAGATCAGGAGACAACTACGATTGAAAAGACGGTTTGTGAAACTCACAGATCCCGAGAGAAGGAGCCATGACATGCTCCAGGGGGTCACATGGGGAAGCACCAGGTCTGTCAGGAGGCAGAGGGAGCAAGGGGAAAGCCTGGGCAAGAGCCTTTATTGTGGTTTCTGTGGGAGGAATGGATAAGGTAGGGGAAGGTGATTTAGGATTGGCTAGTATGAATAATGTCCGCAGGCTCTGAGCCAGAGGGGCAGTCCCCAGTTGTCTAGCACCTGGCCCTGGGGTGAATAGTGCAGGGGGAGAGTGGCCCTGTGCCCGAGAGCCCTCCAGGAGGTGTCTGGGGGTATGGACTCTGGACTGATCGGCTTGCATTTGAAAGGTGAGCTCAAGAATGTCTTGTTTAGGGGCGCCTGGGTGGCTCAGTCGTTAAGAGTCGTTAAGCGTTTGCCTTCGACTCAGGTCATGATCCCAGGGTCCTGGCATCGAGCCCCGCATCGAGCCCCGCATCGAGCCCTGCGTGTCGGGCTCCCTGCTCTGCGGGAAGCCCGCTTCTCCCTCTCCCTCTCCCACTCCCCCTACTTGTGTTCCCTCTCTCGCTGTCTCTCTCTCTCTGTCAAATAAATAAAATCTTTAAAAAAAAAAAAAAGAAGAAGAAGAAAGAGTGTCTTGTTTATTATCTCCAGGAACGGCTAGCCTTGGGAGGGGCAGTCTCTCGGGGGTCAGCAAGCCCCCCCCTCCATGTCATAGCATCAAAATACAGAAAATTAAAAGATATGGTTAATACAGAGTTACAGCCAAGGAGGGATGGAGTTTACACTTTAACAAGATCCTCTGGCTTCCGTGAGGAAATAGTATTTTAGTGAGACGAGAGCAAAGCAGACGCCAGAGGTCAACGCAACGCTCCAGACACAAAATGATGGCGGCCTGGACTTGGGTGGGGGCAGGGGGTGGGAGTCAGGCTAGCGTCAGGGTGTGTTTGGAGGTCGGGCTAACAGGACCTGAGGGACCTGATGAGGATGCTGTTGGGATTACAAGAGGCAACTTGCCAGGGGGCCGTCCTGTCCTTATTTCTGGGATTCATGCCTGTGTTTCCTCCTCCAGTCATGGACTGTACTGTCTCACTCTTCTGATGTTAATGGCACAGTAAAGACGTTCTAGAACATGATACTTCCAGAGTAGAGATTGAAATAAAGTGTCCGGCATGCCCGGGTGGCTCAGTCAGTTAAGCATCTGCCTTCGGCTCAGGTCATGATCCCAGAGTCCTGGGATCAAGCCCCACATCGGGCTCCCTGCTCAGGGCCACTATCCCCCTGCTCTCTCTCTCTTTCACTCTTTCTCTCTCTCTCAAATAAATAAATAAATAAAGTCTCAAAAAAAGAAATAAAATGTCCGACACGGTGCTTGGCACATAGTAGGTACTCAACACAGTTTTTTCTTCCATAAGGGAAAGTATAAAGTCCTGCAGGTCTGATGTCGGAGAGACCATGGTTTGGTCCTGGCTCTACCACCACTAGCGGGGTGACCCTAGACAAGTGATTTCATCTCTCTGCATCCCCCTTCCCTAATCTGGAAGCAGAGATGCAAGCACCTAGCTCTTCCGGTGGTGGCAGGGATTAAATGAGGCGAGGTCTGTAAGGGGCCCAGCCCTTGCATGGGCTCCCATCAATTGCAGCCATAATTATAATGTCTTAAGGAATGTCGGTTGAGCCAGGCTTTGGAGATGGAGCCAAGACTCCCAGAGAAATAGGACTGAGTCCCCTTTATCTCCTCCTTGAAGCCTACCTCCTGCCCCAGCTCCCACTGCTCTGCTGGGCATCTCCTCAAAGAGCCAACAGAAAGCTGTGTTTACTCTGCCAAGTGGCATCCCTAGGGAGCCCCGCAGCGAGCCCTGGCTTTGAAAAGCAGACTGTTAATTACCTGGGGTTCCAAGCAGCCTGACCGCTACGTAAACACTTGCCTAGCCGGCCTGTCGATTAACTCCTTGGCACCCAGGGCTGAGGTCGAGGAGTCTGGGTGTGGGCCGATCTGGAAGGGTCGAGGAACTTGAAGAGGTTGGGCACGGCTTTGGAGCCTTCAGAGAGGGACTGATTCAGGTGAAACATATAGGAGGAGGGAACAGAATGACTCTGACTGTGGTTTGAAATTTCCTTTATTTGGCCTGTCCGGTCCTGCTATCCTCCAGCTTCCACCCTAAGACCCCTGTCCCGGGAATACAGGCCCCAAAGGAGGGGCCAGGGCTGAAAGCTCAGCCTGCAGTTTCAGGCAGGGATGGTGTCCTGTTTGTGAGAGGCCGGCCCAGCGAAGCTTGCTCACCTCAACCCCTTCTGGCTTTCTCCAGCTAAGAGACACCCACCCTATAAGAAGCAGAGACCCACCTCCCAGGGGTGGGGGACCCAGGCCCTGGGCTGTGTGTCTAGGTGTGGCTGGTTAGAAGGTAGCCTTGGCTGACAGTAATTACTCACATGTGCACATGCCAGTCCAGTTGGCCAAACCCTTTCCCCTGCATTGTCTCCTTCATCCAGCTCCATAATAAACCTCTGAAGCAGGAATTAGGCCCCTGAGATGCAGTGGCTCAAATCTAGGCTCTGTTACTCACTGGCTGTGTAGCCCTGAGGCAGTCACGTCACCTCTCAGGAGCTTGCTAAGCTCACCTGTTCAATGGGGACAACAGATGCCCGTGGTGGCAATTTTACTCTGAGGCTTAAATGAAATCATGGATCCAAAGAGCTCCATCATGCCTGGCACCGGGGAGCAAATGTACCGGCCCCTCCTTTAAATTCCCTTGAATTCCTCTCTTGAATTTTACAGAAGAGGAAAATGAGGTTCACTGACCTATCAAATTATAGTCATCCAAGTGTTTAGAAAAAATGATCGTACCCTAGCAAGCACGTGTCAAAGTTGTATTTCACTCATTCATAAGGAAACTGTCGGATGACAGAGCTGGTTCAGGGGACTCATTGAGGATGGTCCATGAAGCACAGAGAATGCTGGAACAAGACTGCTAGTCAGATTCCAACCTGGCAAATACCCTACAGGGCATGACTTACAACCTTTGGGATGATCTCTACTGGTCAGAAATCATTTGTATTGCTGCTATTAGATAAAAATCATTTGTATCTTACCTGTTTTCTACAACTTAGTGTCTTTTTTAAAAGATTTTATTTATTTGACAGAGACAGAGAGCACAAGCAGGGGGAGCAGCAGGCAGGGGCAAAGGGAGAAGCAGGCTCCCCGCCGAGCAGGGAACCTGGTGCAGGGCTGGATCCCAGGACCCTGGGACCATGACCTGAGCTGAAGGCAGATGCTGAGCCAACTGAGCCACCCAGGCACCCCTACAACTTAGTCTTATTTCTCATACTTATAAAATATCTGGGCCCCCAGGACGTAGGGGGTCACATGACCCATGGGGGCTTCTTGGATGATGCCCCAGGAGAATGATGAAAGTATACACAGTCTCCTCATTGCTTCACTTCCAAGTTTTGCACATTTTTCCTGACAAAGTCAAGTGTTCATAGGATGGGAAAGGGAAGGATTGGGCTTCCAAACTGTCAGAATCACTTCTCAGTAAGAATTCCAGATCTTTTTCCTCTAAAAAGCTAGTCTTGCTACTACGTTAGGTTGATGGAGAGAAAGTGAAGGTCCAGGAAAAGGGTGTGACTGGTCCAAGGTCACACAGCTCTACCTGGGGGAGTGGCAGAGTTCCCTGACTCTCATCCCCTGGGCCCCTGGGCTGCTTCCTGGGCCTGCCCCAGCTCCGGGTTCCAGGTGTGAGTTCTCCGCTATAGGCAGGAATCGCTCTGCATCCTGGTGGGGCCTCAGGGGGAGACTCAACTTTAGCTGGAGCTGGATTGCTATCATAGAGTCCTGTGGGGATTCGCCGTGCTTTGGGGTTATCAGTGCTCAGGCAAGTGAGAGCTGAGACCCCAGAGCCTCCCATGGCCTCCAGCCCCCCACACGTGTGAATTCTGCAGTGAGACACCCAGAAAGCTCAGAGCTGGAGGAAACAACAGCGGCGGATGAGAAGCAGCAGATGGGTTGCCATGGTGATCATCTCCTGGAGCTCCAAGTATCTTTCTTTCCGAACAGAGATGGAGATACAGTAGGAAGAACATGGGCACAGGGGAGAAAGTCCAAGTCCTAGCCCTGATCTACCCCATCTGGACAGCTTGGTGCAGGCCGGCTCACCTCTCCTGGGGTCTGAGGAGGACAGAGGATGCATTTGTTAGGTGCTGGCTTCGTGCCAGGCATGGTGTACTGAAGGTTGTCCATTCGTGATCTCATTGAACCCTCTTCCCAGGAAGCCTTGGAAGAATGTGCTATTCTTGGCATTTTATAGAGAGGGAAACAGCAGCACAGACAGGTGAAGTAACTTGCACAGGAACACACAGCTTGTTAAGAGCACCTGAGCTAACGCTCCAGGCCCCTTTCTCTTGGAAGACTAGATGCATTCTTTCTGGAAATTTCAGGCCCATTCCAGAGAATGAAAGACAGGAGGGAGGCAGAACCAGGGTGCAAAGAGGGAATACTCCAGATCAAACACGGTGGTGTTAACCCCCATTTTCCGCCTGGGCACTTGGCCAACACGATACCTGGCACCTCAGGCAGGGAGCACCCCCTTGCTCGGGCAGCCCCCCCGCAGCGTGACACACCGTAGCCCCGAAGCAAACACTGCAGTGCTCCAGCTCCGGGATGCGATCCGGACCACCTCCTGGTCTCCAATCCACTCAAGGTCGGCTTCGACCCTGCCCTGCGGGAAACAAGAGTGCTGCCTTCTCCCAGAAGCCTCCCTTCACTGAACCAGAGCCTGAGCCTTCTCCTCCTCCTCCTCCCTGCTGTCCTTTCCTTCCTGCCCTGTCTCACCCCCCTGTCCCCAAACTGTGGGCTATCGGGCCATTGATCAGAGCCCAGGCATAGGACAGGAACTTCGGGTGGCTTTGATGAGCCCTAAGAGCTCGACAGAGGCCCCCAGAGCTTTTGGCAGAGCCCGGCGATGTATTTTTAGAATGAGCCCAGCTCAGTCCTGCCTGCCAGGATGCCCTGCCTTCTCTTCCTCCATCCAAGCCGCTGGGCAACCATGTGAATCGCAGGCCAGACAAGCCCAGGGCCCAGCTAGTCTGAGGGCCTCCCCTGCAGGGGCGAAGGTAGGAGTTGGCTTGTGCGTGTACACAAGTGTGGACGCAGGCAGGAGCCAGCCAGGGTGCCCAGAGCTGGGGGAGCAGGAGTCCCCTACCAAGCCCCTGGCCCACTGGCCTTGGTCTCCTAGCCCTCCCAGCTTTGTCCACCGGTCCATTCATTCACTCATTCGACAAGTTTGTTGGCCATTTATTACCCTAGTGCTGGGATGAGAAGGGTGAATGAGACAAAATTCCTAGCCTCAGAGCTGGACCCCTGGCCTTCTCCCCTACCTCGGCTCCCCATCCTATCTTGGAGTGGTTCCCCTGGGCCCACATGGCTCCCCGCTTCTGTCTCTGCCCTGTGGCAACTTCTTCCTTGGAGTCCGAGCGGTGCCTCAAAAACAAGTCAGATCATGTCTCTCACGGTGCACGTCCACGCCACCCACCCCCAGAACCTGTGCCTCTCCCCGCCCTGCTGGAGTGACCCGACCTTGCACCGCGCCCCCACTCCCTCACCTCCAACGTCACCTTCTCAGGGCGCCCCTCCCCACTCGTCCCATCTAACACTGCAGCTCCCCATCCCCCTTCTCCACAGCCTTTCTTGCCAAATAACGTGAGATTTTTTATTTGTTTTGCTCATTGCCGCTCTCTCCTCCCTGGAACGTGAACTCCATAAGGGCAAGGTTTTGTCTGCTTTGCTCCCCGCCCTGAGAGCCCACCTGGCCCACACGGTACAAGCCAAGAAGGAGAGTTGTGGAATGAGGGAATGAATGACTTGTGGGGGCGACAGTCATAAGAAAAAGCAGTCCCTGCCTCTACTCCTGCCATTTCCCGTCTGCTCCCACCTAGGCAGCCACACTGGTTCTTCTAAGAAACGTACTGTGTCCTTCAAGTGTTAGGGCAGGTGTCTCTCGGTGCACTCCCATGCTCCCCGCCCCCCTCGTCCTGTGATTGCCTGGATCCTGATGTTCCTCAGAGACGGTGCCTTCTGCAAGAATGGGGGTATACCTGTCTCAGTCAGGAGACAGGATGGTGTGATGGCTGAAGGAATGGACTGCCTAGGTCCAAATCCTGGCTAATCCGGTGGGAATTCAGGCAACTTACTTAAGCTGCCTGGGCCTCTCTTTTCCCGTCTATAAGATGGGGATAATAGGGCGCCTGGGTGGCTCAGTCGTTAAGCGTCTGCCTTCGGCTCAGGTCATGATCCCAGGGTCCTGGGATCGAGTCCCACATCGGGCTCCC